AAGAACTTTGCTTCAGAATGAGAACAGAAATCACGCAGCAGCACACAATGGAGGTCCCATTAGCTAAAGTGGTGCTTTAGGTTAAGAACAGTTTCAGGTTAAGAATGGACCTCTGGAATGAATTAAGTACTTAACCCGAGGTACCACTGTATTGGGGTAGGGAGAGTTCACATGTTTCATTTTTGCAAGGGCCCACTTGTTGACTTAGACGTATCATTTTTTAAATTAAAAAAATCATTGTTACACAAAGCAATTTCAAGGCATTATGAAATAATAATAATAATAATAATAATAATAATAATAATAATAATAATAATTTTTATTTATACCCCGCCCTCCCCAGCCAAGGCCGGGCTCAGAGTGGCTAACAACCAATAATAAAAACAAGTTGATTAAAATACAATTTAAAATATTAAGATACAACATTAAAACATTAGGATGCAGCCTCTTCACAGGAGGAGAAAGGAAAAAGAAAGAGGGGGAGGGAATCAAACTGATTCCAAGCCAAAGGCCAGGCGGAACAACTCTGTCTTACAGGCCCTGTGGAAAGAAATCAGATCCTGCAGGGCCCTGGTCTCATGAGGCAGAGCGTTCCACCAGGCCGGAGCCAGTGCTAAAAAGGCCCTGGCTCTGGTTGAAGCCAATCTAACTTCCTTAGGGCCCGGGACCACTAGGGTGTTGTTATTTATGGACCTTGAGGCTCTCCATGGGGCATACCGGGAGAGGCGGTCCCGTAGGTACGAGGGTCCTAGGCCGTGAAGGGCTTGAAAGGTCAAAAGCAGCACCTTAAATCTGATCCTGTACTCCACCGGGAGCCAGTGCAGCTGGAAAAGCACTGGGTGAATATGCTCCCATGGCAAAGACCCCGTGAGGAGCCTCGCTGCAGCATTCTGCACCCGCTGGAGTTACTGGGACAGCTTCAAGGGCAGCCCCGCGTAGAGCGAATTACAGTAGTCAAGCCTGGAGATGACCGTCGCATGGATCACTGTGGCCAGGTCGGGGTGGGAAAGGTAAGGGACCAACTGCTTGATGCGGCGAAGGTGGAAAATGTCGCCTTGGCTGTTGCTGTAACCTGCGCCTCCATGGAAAGGGAGGCGTCAAGGATTACACCCAAACTCTTAACGGAAGGCAATGGCAGTAATTGGGCCCCCGCAAGAGAAGGGAGTTGGTCCCTCATCCCCATGCCATCCCGATCTAGCCATAGGACCTCTGTCTTCGAAGGATTTAGTTTCAATCGGCTCCCACGAAACCATCCAGCCACAGCTTCTAAGCATCTGGTCAGTGTGTTCGGGGCCGAGTTGGTGTGGCCATCCATCAGCAGATAGAACTGAGTGTCATCAGCATATTGGTGACAGCCCAGCCCAAAGCTCCGGATAATCTGGGCAAGGGGGCGCATAAAGATGTTAAAAAGCATTGGGGAGAGGATTGCGCTCTGCGGCACTCCACACACCAAGGAGTGGCGCGACGACATTTCCCTCCCTAGTGCCACCCTCTGTCCCCGACCAGAGATAAAAGAGCACAGCCAAATGCAATAATTCTACACAAAATGATTCCTCTGCCTGCTGCAGTCAGTTGGTGTTCCTCTATTATAGGTAGCTTGGTCAGCAAACCAGTGGGTCAGTTTATACCTAAAACTGTAAGAGCCGTGCCAAAGAACTGTAAAGAATGATTTATGTTCTTGTTAGCAGCTAGCAGCTCTGCTGGGAAATGAGAGGGGTGGCTCCTCGAGGATAGAAGATTGCAAGTACACCTGTACAGGGGGATTGCTGTCACAAACACAATGGTGTATACAAGAAAGGCACATTGAACTGAAATTGAATTGAAATACTTTATTGTCACTTGTACAATTTGTATACAGTGAGATTACACGAGCACCCCATACTCAGCTCTTAATTCCCCTTGTTTACTGACGCACACCCACCAAACCCGAAAGTCCGTTGCCCTGTTGTTATCTTTTCATTCAGCAGCCCAACAGCCCACGGATAGAAGCTGTTCTTTACCCTGTTGGTGCGACTAATCCTGCTTCTATATCTTCTGCCCGAGGGCAGGAGATCAAGAAAGTGCCGGCCTGGGTGGGAATCATCCCTGAGAATTTTCCTCACTCTCCTGAGGCAACGATCTTCCGCTATTTCATCCAGTGGATTCACGGGACAGCCCATAATATCTTGTGCTGTATTCTCCACCCTCTGTAGGCACTTACTATCAGTTGATGTCAAACCAGTGTACCACACTGTGATGCAGTAGGAAAGGACACTTTCTATTGTTGACCGGTAGAAGGAGATAATCAAATGTTGATTGACATCATTCTTCCGCAATACTCTGAGGAGATGCCACACCTCTCTCCACTTGAATATATTCCATACAACAGTTGAAGGTGGAAAGGGGGACAGACAAAAATAACCCAGTCCTCCCCCCCCCATCCAAGTGTGGGAAAGCAGAAGACGCAGTCACCAAGAAATGACTCTCCACCCAGAGATTATGAGGTGCATATGCTGGTTCTTAGACAGGATTAACTGCATAAATCTAATAGAAATACAAAGGAAGGTTCTCCTACCCCAAACCTGGCTGTAGAAATTCAGCAAAAAAGTGAATGCTGTTTTACTCTGCAACAACAGAAGTCTAGTGTCCAGATCAAGGGAAGTAATAGTACCACTTGATTCTGCCTTAGACCACACCAGTAACCAGTTCTGGGCACCACAATTTACGGTAAGAAGGATGCTGACAAGCTGGAACATGTGTAGAGGAGGGTGACCAAGCTAATCGAGGGTCTGGAAACCAAGCCTTATGAGGAATGGTTGAAGGAGTTGGGGATATTTAGCCTGGAAAAGAGGAGCCATCTTCAAATATCTGAAGGACTGTCAAACAGAAGAGGAAGCATTCTTGTTTTATCCTGCTTCTGAGGGCAGGACTCGAGGCAATGGCTTCAAGTTGCAAGAAAGGAGATTCCGACTAAACATTCAGAAAAGCTTGCTGACAGTAAGAGGAGTTCAGACTCCCACGAGAGATGGTGGACTCTCCTTCCTTGGAGGTTTAAGCAGAGGTTGGATGGCCATCAGTCCCAGATGCTTCAGTTGCGATTCCTGCATTGGAGATGGTTAGATGAGATGACCCTCAAGGTCTCTTCCAACTCTACAATTCTCCCTTCACAATTATATGATCCTATGATCTCATTCATCTTTACAACTGCCCCAAAGAGCAATAGAATGATCCCCAAGTCCTCACTCCAGTCAGCAATCATGCTGCAGCATTCTGCACCAGCAGGATTGGCAGCAACAGCAACAAATATGGTCTGTGCTTATGGTAATATGTTCTCTATTTTTTTATTATTTTTTATTCTCTTGCTAATTATGCTGTCTTTTGGTTCAAAATTGGGAAAGGAATATGGCAAGGCTGTATATTGTCTCCCTGCTTATTTAACTTATATGCAGAATTCATCATGCGAAAGGCTGGGCTGGATGAATCCCAAGCCGGAATTAAGATCGTCGGAAGAAATATCAACAACCTCAGATATGCAGATGACACAACCTTGATGGTGGAAAGTGAGGAGGAATTAAAGAACCTTTTAATGAGGGTGAAAGAGGAGAGCGCAAAATATGGTCTGAAGCTCAACATCAAAAAAACGAAGATCATGGCCACTGGGCCCATCACCTCCTGGCAAATAGAAGGGGAAGAAATGGAGGCAGTGAGAGATTTTACTTTCTTGGGCTCCATGATCACTGCAGATGGTGACAGCAGTCACAAAATTAAAAGACGCCTGCTCCTTGGGAGAAAGGCGATAGCAAACCTAGACAGCATCTTGAGAAGTAGAGACGTCACCTTGCCAACAAAGGTCCGTATAGTTAAAGCCATGGTTTTCCCAGTAGTGATGTATGGAAGTGAGAGCTGGACCATAAAGAAGGCTGATCGCCGAAGAATTGATGCTTTTGAACTATGGTGCTGGAGGAGACTCTTGAGAGTCCCATGGACTGCAAGAAGATCAAACCTCTCCATTCTTAGGAAATCAGCCCTGAGTGCTCACTGGAAGGACAGATCCTGAAGCTGAGGCTCCAATACTTTGGCCACCTCATGAGAAGAGAAGACTCCCTGGAAAAGACCCTGATGTTGGGAAAGATGGAGGGCACAAGGAGAAGGGGACGACAGAGGACGAGATGGTGGGACAGTGTTCTCGAAGAGACCAGCATGAGTTTGACCAAACTGCGGGAGGCAGTGGAAGACAGGAGTGCCCGGCGTGCTCTGGTCCAGGGGGTCACGAAGAGTCAGACACAACTGAACGACTAAACAACAATTATGCTGTCTTACTTGTGCATTTTATATTTGACATCCTTTAGTTATGTTTTCTTTTGAAAAGTCCCCCTTCCCTCCTGTTAGCTTTGCTGCTGAATGAGCCTTGTGCAGCTGACCACCTTTGTAAACTTCTGTTTTGAAATCTTTAAAATAGTATTTCCGCTCTCTCTTAATTACGCTGCTTTGAATGTATATGGTACTTTCTGACTTTCTTCGGTAATGTTTTATCCTGGACTGTTTTATCTGATGTTTTAATGTGGGTTGTAAACCGTTTTGAGATTTAAATCTTAAAAACGTAAAGCAGTTTCGAAATGAAGTGACTAATAATAATAGAGGATTTTAAGAGAAGTGAGGACTCAGCAGACCAGCTTAGGAAGGAAGTCCTGGCCTTAGGGACCACTCCCTAGATTATCTTACGATACTTGTTTGTGTGTCATACATTTTATTTGCAAATATGCGTGTTGCAACCCTATGACTCATGGAAGAAGAGAGGAGCCAGGCCTCGCTCATTTCGGGACCAGGACGCCAAAGGGGCCCGTTGCCATAGCAACGAGAGGCCGCCCCGCGCCAGGCGCCCTTCCCCTGGCGAGCCCCGCCCCGCCCCGCGCGCCCCGGCGCCCAGCCAATGCCGTCGCGCGGCTCCTCCGGGACCTGGCATGACGTGGCAGAGGCGCCTCCCCGCCCCGCGGAGCTTGCCATTGGTCGAGGTGGGTGAGGAGGGGCGGGGCTTGAGAAGAGGGCTCTGGCTGGTGGGAAGGAAGGAGCGGAGACGGCGCTGCGAGTCGCCGCGGGAGGTGAGCGCCTGCTGGAGGGGGCGCGGGCGGCAGCGGGCGGCGGGGGGCGGGGGGAAGAGAGAGTTAAATCGCATATCATCTAGCTTCTTGTTCAAGCTGAGCCAGAGCAATGAGTCGCGTTTTCGTTTTTTATCAAGAAAAGAACGATTGTGCTAAATTTGAGCAGCCCCAGCAGGGCATTCCAGAGTGGGCTTTATTTGGCTTCTGTCATTCTGTGAATGGAGTTTTACGGTGCTTTGCAGAGTAGCAGAAAAGGCAGGTGGCATAAAAGGAGCGCATACTGTACATGTGTGTGTATATACGGTATCTATATATAGAGAGAGATAATGTTATTTTTATAGACACAGCACAATGATGTTTTCTGTGTCCCATCTGGCATCCCCATGTTATAAGGAAGTTACCATAGTCAGTGGCAGAAGTATGATGTGGCTCGATGACACGAGTGAGGCGTTTGTGTGCATGTCTACGAGTCTAGCAAGCTGGTCTGTTTGTTGCAGTAACTCTGGGGTGCTTCAAAAGGCCACATATATATGCAGAGAATATATATGTTCTATAGAGGACACGGGGATGAAAAAAGAAATGGGTGTTATTGGTGTTTATAGTAATATTGGGGGTATCACTTGTTACTGTTTGTAAAGGGTGTGTCTGTGTGTGTATGTGATACTGCTTTTAACTGTTGCGTGATTTCATGCCACCTTGAATTCCTTTTTTGGAAAATAAGATGGGATGGAAGCACTAAAATTAACACAATTTAAAAAAGAACAACCCTGTTTCAGTATTTGCCTTTACAGATGTGAATCAGGCTATCTTTGCCTCCTTGTGACAGGAGTCTTTCCCCCTGCAAAACTGTTCACTTAGATATCACTGGAATTGGTGCTTTCCCCTTCTTAATGGTGGCCTTCGTGGATCAAGATTCAGGCCAGCATCTTGCACATCCTTTTCAACATGTCTTATGCTCTATATTCCAGTTTTGTAAATCATTCCACAAAAAATAGTGGGCTTCAAATATTTTGATGAGGTTATTAAGAGGCAAGTGGCCTGTAATTCCATGCTAGCCATAGACGAAGATTAGTCACCTCCACTGCAGCCAGTATGAAAATGCAAGCTAGTAAGGAAAAGGGAAAGCGCCTTCTAACTATGCCTTTTCTTCTTCTTTTTATTATGTATTTTGTGTTTTTTATCTTGTATTTTTATGTTCTGAACTGCCTTGAGATCTATGGTTAAAGAACAGTATCAAAATTTAATAAATAAACAAGGAAGAGGGTTTCCTTCTTTTCACTAGCATGGAACCCAAGTAGTTTGGTAAATGTGGGGAGGAGTGACTCACCCATCTCCCAGTCTACTCAATTACTTTCTTGCATCTCACCTATGTGACTACCTGCTTGCTGTGGCTACCTGGTGAATTGTTAAATTCAAGGCTGCTGTAGCTGGGGGAAGTGCAAAGTGTTTTTGGGCTAAGAGTTTCTCAGTGAGTCTTACTGTTCTCTTCTCCTCCATAGGCCATGGACGGGGACAATGAGATCCATGAGCTCCAGCGCTGCTTGGCTGAGGCAGGACAGAGCCATCTGCTTTGGTTCTGGGAAGAACTGGATGTGTCAGAGCAGCAAGAGCTGTATAGAGACTTGAAGGACATGAATCTGGGAGAGCTGGGCCAAGCTTTCCAGAAAGCCATGAAGGAAAGCAGCCATTTGCCAGGGCAGGAGAACGTGGATGCCAAAATGGAACCTGTGCCGCGTGAAGTGCTAGGGAGCGCAACTCGGGACCAAGCCCAGCTGTCGGCCTGGGAGCAGGAAGGTAACAAGAGGAACCCACATAGTCAGTTCTAGGAAGTAGACCTGGTCCCTGAAGTGATACAGACTATGTAAAGAACAACACAGATCATAGGCTTGCTTCTCTACACTTCTTATATAATATCCACAGTTTGTGAAATATGAAAACACTCTCTGTTAGAAGGTGTAGGCTGATGTTACAGCAAGCTCAGTTGGGACCCCTTGTAGCAAGGTTTTAGCATGTGCTTTGAGGGAAGTGGGAAGTCTCACAATTTCATAAAGTTTTCTTACAGACCATTGTGTAACTATAATAATACAATGGCAAATCTTATGTATTTTGAGACATTTTAAAAAATGGCTTTTAACATTTTAAAAAATGGTTGTGTATGTCTCTAGGCTCTCATGGAAGGTGCTTGTTGAATGCCAAATTATGATAATTTTAAAGTGGGGAGAACATACCAGTTCCTTGGTTTTCATTCTACTGTATTAGTAACAATGCTGAATAGCACTCTTTAGATTGATTTTCCCTGTCTTGTTGTGTTCCTCCGCTTGGTTGTCTTGACTGTATGGAGCCTTGGTGGCCTACATGGGAATCTGCTATTCCTTTTACTATGTAGCCAAAGGGATTTAGGCCTGAGTGCCATTTCTTAATATGATCTCTTCCACTAGAAACTGCAGGGAAAAGTAGAAACAGTGGACCCTTGAGCAAGCTGTTTGTGTCAGTTCTTTGGACCGCTGAAGTGCATGTTCGTCCATAAGGACTCTCCTTGTTATCCCAAAGAGCTATGACCTTTCCCAGTGCTTTCCCCTCAGAGTCAGCTGGAGACCGACTCTATCATACCATAGTCGTAAGATCTGTGGGCTTGGAGTATCGTCTGGATTGAAGCAGTGACAGAGAGAGAGAGAAGAAAGAATTAAAGAAAAAGTGATATCCAGGCTCAAGTCTGATTGCTCTGGACTAGAAAAATATTAAAACTTGCAAAAGCAGCAGCAGCAGCAGCTGTGTTGCTGTTAATAATAATAAAATAATAATAAATTTTATTTATATCCCGCCCTCCCCAGCCGAAGCCGGGCTCAGGGCGGCTAACAACAGTAAAACAGTACAAAAGTACAGCATAACAACGTTCTAAAATCATTCATTATAAAATTAATTAATATGAAGAGAATAAGCAAGATTTTGCTTTTACTGTCTCAATAACTGTTTAAAATGTCATAAAGCAGGCTTTTGAGTAATACAGCATTTTTCTCCAGGCCAAGAAAACTTGGTACTACTGAATATCTTTTGAAGTTAGCTTTGTTCTGCCTTGCTGCTTAGGTTGCTCTTTGCCTGTGTTCCTCATTCACCTATACTGTGTGCCCTTTTTAATAAAACAAATGTGTAAATAGTTTCAGGCATGTTTCCAAGCAGGAAGTAATCCAGGAAGCATTTTATCATGGGGAGGCCAAATAAACATTTAACACATAATGTATCTTTAGAAACACCCATATTTGAACTCCTGTGATAATAAAATTATTGATGAGAACCCCAGATTTGCATGCAACATTCCTTCTTGCCATTCCCCCAACCTCATGTCTAGCCAACTTGCCTGGTTTGAGGCAAACCATCAGTATGCCACTTCATCCAAACCAGCAGTCTCTGCTTTTCTTCAAAATTGGAAATTAGACAAGGAATTAGCAAGTGAGCCTGAGATTCAGTCCAGCATTGAACACAGGTTGGCATAACCACTGATTCCCCATCTTCCAAGGTCTATTCTGAAAAATGAATGATGTAACTTTTAATGTGCTTGTTCACACATTTTTGATTTTTTGATGTTGAGAAGCAATCAAACCTGAGAGTAGTATTGTAAGATGGGAAAGGCAGTCATACAGAGTACAGATGCTCTACCCCCTTTTCCCCTTAAAAGCAGCAACAAAAATATACTTTAAACAATGCATATATATCTCCAGAACTGTAATCAATTTTCTTGTTCTTAAGTGAAGCTTTTGGTTCAAGATGTAAATTCTAGTGGTGTAGAAGGATGTTAGGGAATTTCTCATTACTCTTGGTTCCAAGTAGAGCATAAAACAGCCTTAGATTAGTAGTAGAGAGGACTGGAGTCTCCAAGGGCACTTTGAGCAGAATACAGAGATTCTACCTCCGTTATGTGAAGCACGTCTGGATCAGTTAGATTCTTTGAGTGATGCCTTGCATGCCTGAAAAAGAGTTGTGTGCAAATCAAATGCTTGCTGTCAATCACTGGAGTAACATTTATTTTTCTTGTTTTTTTAGGTCTCCGACAGATTTCCCAAAACAAAGTTGCTGTTCTTCTGCTAGCTGGTGGGCAAGGAACAAGGCTGGGTGTCTCATACCCCAAGGGGATGTATGATGTAGGCCTGCCATCCCACAAAACTCTCTTCCAGATCCAAGCAGAGCGCATCCTGAAACTGCAGCAGCTGGCTGAAAGACAACATGGCCTGAATTGTGTTATTCCATGGTAAGCAACTTGGACACTTCAGGCATTTTATCAGTGTTCTTCAGGAGCAAGTGGAAGCAGATGATCCCTGCTAGTGGTCTTTGTTTTGTTGGTTCAGAAGCTTTTGCTGCCTTGCTTTCAGGGCTGTATCCAGCAGTGGTGTGAGCAGAAGACAGCTTGTCTGCAGAAGACATTCTTTTCCCTTCCTCTCCATCATCAACCCCTACACACACTCCACCCCCCAAGAGTACTTTGGGGCCCTTCAACAGTGAGGGGTGTCTCTTATAAAGTTGCAGTGCAAGGGTAAAATAGCTATAAGTTGGCATAAGATCTCTTGGCCCAGTTTTGAATTATTTTCTGGCACGTATGGTTTCAGAGCCCATAAGAAAGCTGTGAAATAACACTTGTGAGTGCATGGCTTCTTTTGGCCCTTTGGGGAGGAAGGTTCCTACGTTTGTCTAGTAGCAAGGAAAGGCCATGAGCTTTGTATCCCATAATAGGTGAACTCTTTCATTTTCCAACAGGCTTTGGGAAAGTGACTGCTTTTAGTTAAAAGGCTGGTGCCATGCTGATTTTATTATAATTATGTGTATGCTTTAAACAGATTTTATAGATTTATTTAGTTTTAATTCTATTGTTTTTCAATGATAGATTTTTCTATGTTCGTAGCAGTTCTTGTTTTATTTGTAAGCCACTTTGAGTTCTGATGTGGGGAATGCAGGATATAAATATATAATATATGATGATGATGATGATGATGTTGATGATATGATATGATATGCTCCCTGTCTTAATTATCTATAATTCTTTTATTTTTGCCATTCAGGTACATCATGACAAGTGGTAGGACAATGGAATTGACTAAAGAATTTTTCCTGAAGCACAAATACTTTGGCTTAAAGAAAGAGAATGTGATCTTCTTCCAGCAAGGAATGCTGCCTGCTATGGACTTTGATGGGAAAATTCTCTTGGAAGAGAAAGGCAAAGTTTCTATGGCACCAGGTGCAACATCTATAGGAACCCTTTCCAAACCCATATTGGCAATTGCCCCTCTTTGCTCTAGCATTCATCAGCTTCTGCTATGTCCGTAATTTGCTTTCTGTGACTTGATGAGAAAAGGTGCTGAGGAAAGGGGCAGCTGGGGCTTCTGCTTAATACCTGAGGCTACCAGCAAGCCTCTTTCCTACTCTCATGTTTTGTTTCCCAGTCGTGTCCCTGAGCAGTCTGTGCAAATCCACAGTTTGACATGATGGCCTCAGTTAAAAATGTCATATTTTCCTCATTCTTCTTCACCTCCCCCCATTATGTCTTTCAAAAGCAACTCCCCCCTTTTTATCATTCAAAAAATAGAACAGATTGTGATTATAAAGAAAACAATGTAGAAAATAGGAATATCATACAAAAACCAACAAGACGTAGACTCCCAAACTTCATAGAGAATCATGACAACCAGCAGCTAAGCTTGAATAACATCAGTAACTATAATAAGTGAGACACTAAAAATTTGCCATCTAACTTGTATTTTTGTGGCATTGCGTAACAGGGCTCCAAATTTGATCGTTTCAGTAGTGACTAAGTTAACAAGTACTGTTCTTTTCCAAACTTTGAGCAACCGTTCTTTTTTTATTTTTATGATGGTTCCAAATAAGACGCTTCGGTATCTTCCAAATTCAGAAATTTAACACATAGAAGTTGCTCATGCTTATTCATCTGGTTATTTTTTATTAGCTCAATAAAAGAGCTTTCAGGTCATTATGTAAGGCAATATGTGAAAATTCTTGAACCATATAACCAGGCCCCAACATCACTTTGCCCTTACACAGTGCCATCTAGGTCATTTTCTCAAAGCCAACGTTTTCAGCTTCCAGGTACTTCAAGCATGGAAACGCTGAATCTTGAAGACAATTTCTTTCTGATTTAACACTTGCGTTTAGCGTGAACCTTTATTAAAAAGGAAGTTCCATACTTCATGAAAGATTAGCTGTGGGGGCATAGGCTATCATTTGTGCAGCAGCCATCATGGCTGCCCCAACATCTGATATGTTGCCCAACAAATCTTTTAGTGATTAATGTTTGTGTTGTTTTTTTGGATTGCCCAGAAGGCAGCTCATCCATAGAGCTGAAATGCTTTTCTATGTGGAGCTCAGTTAACGGTTTTGCTTCTTACCTTTAAAAGCCCTAAAGGGAATGCTGCCTCCTTTGTGGACCTCACTGGCCCCTCACAGTTTTGGACAAGGTCCTGCTGCACCCAGGGGAACATTGGAGGCCATGAAGAAGACAGGCTGCCTCAGCTGAAACACCATCACTTGCAGAGCTCTCTCGAGAGGGGGGATGGTTTTTGTGTGGGCAGGACTTAAAAAAAATATTGAAAGGCATTTGGAATATAAGCTCAATCAAAATGTTTATTCGGCTTTACGCCCATCATGAAACACAACACAACACAACAAAACAAATAAAAACAAATCAGATCAAATAAAACAGTGGACTCGTACAAGCCACAAGTAGTATAACACAGTTCTCGACTCAGAAGGACAGATATTAGCCATTCATAAGAAAAGTTTAACATTAAGATTTTAAAAAAATAAAAAATTTAGGCACTACACTAAAATCAATATCTCATGTAATTATAGAAAATTCTTATAACTATCAATAATCAGCTAACATTCCATTCCGTCTCTTGTACGAGAGGACGGCTGTTAGGAATTTAGCAGCCTGTAGGGTGATATAAGGATCCACATCTTGAAGAACCCAGGCCAGCTGTAGGTCTACTGATTTGTCAGCCATAGGCTGGATTATGGAGTTTAGTATACTAGCACGGGCTGAACTGTACAAAGGGCAGATAAACATAACATGATGTAGAGATTCAGATGTTTTCATTTCACACGCACACATTGAAGGGACTTGGCCCTTAGTGAATCTATGTCTCAGCACGTTTGTTGGAAAGACATTAAACCTAGCTCTAATGAAGGCATATTGGTGAGACGCGGCCGTAAGCGATGTTAAGTAGGACGGAGCGCGGTAGATAGGGGTTATGCCGAAATTTAATGGCGAGCAGACTCCACCACCAGCTACGAAATTTTGGTATAGCTCCACATCATCCAGCCTTTGATTTATACACCTTTTTGCCACATTTAGATCCAGTTTGAGCAATTCAGTGGGCGAGATCTCATAGGACAGCAATTTGGCATGGATTTTTCCTGACCACAAATTGGTGAAGTCATCTCGCCACATGCATTGAATGAGATAGTGGTTCGGGAGTTTATGCCATAGGGATATCCAATAATTCAAAACTCTCCTCCATATAACTAACTCCACTGAGGGGATCTTCATTTCTAAGCGGATAGCCGCATTACTTACGCATGTAATATGGGAATATAAGGTTTTAAGTGATGCTGCTGATATTTTCTGTGTTACCAGTAATGCTGAATTTTTAGGATTTTTACTGACAAACCTTAAGTATGATAACTTGTCTTTGTGGTGGGTCATGTCAAAAAAAGGTGCACAAAACCCGATGTGAAAAAATAGCTTTTCTGACCTACTGAACTGCTTCCTTTTCTTCTCCCTTCCTAAAGACGGTAATGGTGGCCTCTACCGCGCTCTGGGAGCCCATCATATTGTGGAGGACATGGAAAAGCGAGGCATTGGCAGCATCCATGTCTATTGTGTTGACAATATTTTAGTCAAAGTGGCTGACCCTCGCTTCATTGGCTTCTGTGTACAGAAGGGAGCAGACTGTGGAGCAAAGGTAACCAATATTGATGCAGGCTGTAGAGAGGGAGTTGTTAGGTTTGGGAAGGTGACTCCGTAAGACCTTGTGGGGGTGGGGTAGTGTTAGGTGTAACTAGGTGTAACTGCGCTCTTTTATCTTGTGAATGGCTGCTTCATTGAACTGTCAGACTTTAGTTTTTATTGCCTTTTGATTCCACGGTTTCCCTCCTCACTACTCATGCATGAATACCAGTAGCTGAAAGCCACAGGGGGGAGAGTGGCTCTTGCACTCGGGTCCTGCCTGGCCACTGTGAGAACAGGATGCTGGACTCCGTGGGCCTGATCCAGCTGGCTCTTCTTATGTTCATATTATACTGTGGTACCTAAGAATAGCATCCATGTATGTTCATGCATATGATGAAGCCCACCAAGGTGTATGCCGTAATCAGTTTGTTAGCCTTCTAAGTACAACAAAACTGTTGTTGTTCTTCTATATTAGGTTGTTGAAAAGACCAATCCCACGGAGCCCGTTGGTGTGGTGTGCCGAGTGGGTGGCGTTTACCAAGTGGTGGAGTACAGTGAGATCTCTCTGGCCACAGCGCAGAAAAGGGGTCCCGATGGCCGGCTGCTATTTAATGCTGGGAACATAGCCAACCACTACTTCACCCTGGAGTTTCTGAAAGACGTTGTCAAGTACGGGCATCCTTTAGTCCTGAGATGCACTCCTACAGGAGTGGAATAGCTCTTATATATTATTTCCTTCTCATATATCTGCCATTGCTAACTTCCTTTTGTGTCACAAATTTTTAGCAAACAATGCCAGTTTATACATGTAGCGGAATCAAGGGGTAAATCTTTTCCTGAACTATACTATCGTATTTTTCCGTGTGTAAGACTAGGGTTGTTGTTTTTTTTTAAAAAAAGGTTTAAAATTGGGGCTCGTCTTATACACGGGTATTGCTAAGGGGTGTTTTCTTATTTTGGAGTCCCCCCAAATGGGGGGGCATCTTAAACATGAGGCCGTCTTATACACAGAAAAATATGGCACTTCAGGTAGTTGGAGGCAGGGAGCTGCATGTTTGAATGCACCCCTGGGGGGGAGGGGGAACAGCGAATTCTCGCTTTTTAACATCAGAATTCAGCTAGATCTGCCTCCTTCTATGATTCTGCAGGAATTAGGAACTTGTGGCCCTGTTCTTAGACTGAAACTCACATAAACCCCAGTCAGCATGGCCAGTGATCAGGGGTGATAGAAGTTGTGATCCAGTAACAGCTAAAGCGCCACAGGTTGCATCCCAGCACTATTGTTTTGGGTCCACAGAGATTCCCCCCCCCACAAACCCCTGAATTTGGCCATCATTCTAGCTAGAAAAAGCTTTACCACTTGATTCTGCTATGTTTATGTCCCTGTGCAGAGTATGTTCCCCTGTTTCAGTTTAAAGGTGGAAATGAACGAGAACTGGGGCACTGGTTAAACATTCTGAGTTTTTTGGCAAGTTCAGTGGCACTTGCTTATGGAAATGGGAAGGCTTTTTAATGGAAGCATTCTGCTAGGCCCACCACAAAGCTCTAACTTCCAGTTTCAATGTTATTTTGTCTCAATCAGAACAATAAACGTAGAAAAGAATAATAATACTCTGGCTTTGCATCATATGCTGATTGTGTCCAAGCCTTAAAGAGAATTGATGAAAGAAAATGGTCCCTAATATGTAGGAACAGAGGTGTTTAGAGCTCCATGTCAATAGCAGAGGACCTGAATTGTGCATTAAAACCATGAAGTTAGTAGTGGAGATTTTGGCATGCTGATGCAGTCTGATTGCACTGAGATTTGTACTAGTTGCTGCTGGTGGGGTGTGTAAAAAGTGGTAGTGAGTCCTAACTGCAGATCATCTGTAGAAAATGGCACCTTCTACCTTTGCAGCCAAAAGGTAAAGCAAAGGTGTGGATCAAATATCCTACACTTGGGATAGGTGGCTTCTTTTGTGCCAGAATAACTAGATATCAAGCGTCTTCTGCTGGAAATACATTAATATTCAATGAAAACCTAAGAACTGCCTTGTTATATCAAGGTCCATCTCATTCAGTATTGGTTTTCAGCTGCCGTGCAAATGGTTCACAAGCCTGGCATGAAGCTGATGTCTTTCCCCATTCTCTGTCCCCAACATCTGGTACCTGGAGGCTTCAGACTCTGCTGACTCTTCCCTTGATGTTTCAGCCTTTACGAGCCTCAGCTACAGCACCACGTAGCCCAAAAGAAGATCCCGTGTATAGATGTAGCCACTGGAAAGCCTCTGAAGCCAGACAAACCAAATGGGATTAAGATGGAGAAATTCGTATTTGACATCTTCCAGTTTGCCAAGTATGTCCTTTTGTGCTGCTCCTCTGCCTAGTGCTGAGAGTGTTTTGTGTTACCCGTTGCAACTTCATTTTGGTATGTTAGCTTTACTTTCAAAACAAGAAAACTAATTTTGGATCTTCACAGTTGTAGAAGGTACAAACTATATGAGGCTGGGAAGCTGAGCTGCTGAGAAACTAGCTGAGATTAGCAAAGAGAGGAACTAAATTAATCTTGCAGTTTGGAGAGCAGAAAGAAGTACGTTGCATGAGGAGTTGAGAATAGATTTTTACTTATGGGTGAGGAGCATTCTTGCATCCTGAGACTATTGTGGCAACTGATAGCATAGAGGCAGTCATAGTAGGAAACCAGCAAGAGGGCAGGGGGCCTTCTTGGAGAGGAGCATGTGGCCTGTATACTAAACCTGTGCTATGGTGCCAAGGTGAACTCCCAGGAAGGTCCCTCTTTGCCACAGTGCCTTCAGTTGTCCCTTTGTGTGTAAGATTGGGACTGCCCTCGCAGCCTAGAAAGAGGGAAACTGAAAATCTGCAGTCCATTTCTGAAGACTGGGGAAAGATTCTCTTTGCTTCTTACAAGTCCTTGGCCTTCGCCTTGGAAACTGATGTCCATGCTTGCCTGTTTGAGTGGCTGGCCTGTCACAGTAAAATTTGAGGTATTTGGGAACCTTCTTGAACTTTGGCTGGTTTCCTTCTAATTTGATGGATTTAAAAAAAAACAAAACACCTTACCAGAGCTGTCTCTGCTTTCTTGCTCTTCTAGAAAATTTGTGGTTTACGAAGTGCTGAGAGAAGACGAGTTCTCTCCTCTGAAGAACGCGGACAGCCAGAATGGGAAAGACAGCCCCACCACTGCACGCCACTCCCTGATGTCACTGCATCACTGTTGGGTTCTCAATGCTGGAGGGCACTTTGTGGATGAAAATGGAAGGCGCCTTTCTGCAATTCCCCGGTAAGAATATTTAGGCATTGCTTTAGCTTTTGCCTTCCGTCCCTGAGTATAGCCTACGGAAGTGGGTGTCGTGGCTGTACATCTGGGCGAGTGTGCAAGGATGCTGGAGGTTCCAGTGGATCGGGTTTCTAGTAATATTCTGCAACAGGCTCCCATGTCCATAATATCTCCCTTTGATTGTAATTAGCATGGCTGAGATAACTACACAGTGTGAGGCAACAATCTTGATTGATGTACTTGATCATCACAGTTGCATCTGTGTCATTGGGGACAAGTGAATGGAACCCCAGCATTTAGGAAACTACTCCAGCCTTCCATAATTCAAACTGGAGCCAGGATACCCAAGCCTTTTTAGAGAATAGCGGCTTTAGGCTCCCTCCTCTTCAGATGTGGGAAGGTACCAGTGCCTTCGCCCTTTTAGAATAATAGCAGCAAGCAGAATACAACAATTTGTCTATACCTTGAAGTGTGTTTATAAAGTATTTTTACCCCACTCTTTAACTGAAAAGGCTCACACAGTGGCTAACAAATTAATAGAAAAATCCCAGACTTAAAATCTAAAAGGCACAACACACCAGAAACAAAAGATGGAGAGGAAGGGAGAAGGTGAACACAAGAGGGTTAAAAAGGTAAAGGTAGGTTAAAAAGGTAAAGGTAGCCCTGACCGTTAGGTCCAGTTGCAGACGACTCTGGGGTTGTGCGCTCATCTTGCTCTGTACTCCGAGGGGGCCGGCGTTTGTCCGCAGACAGCTTCTGGGTCATGTGGCCAGCATAACTAAGCCACTTATGGCGAAACTAAAGCAGCAGATGGAAATGCCATTTACCTTCCCACCAGAGCTGTACCTATTTATCTACTTGCAGTTTGACATGCTTTCGAACTGCTAGGTGGGCAGGAGCTGGGACCGAACAACAGGAGCTCATCCCGTCGGGGGGTTTCGAACCGCCGACCTTCTGATCGGCAAGCCCTAGGCTCTGTGGTTTAGACCACAGCGCCACCCGTGTCCCAGTAGGTTACAGTGTTCTTATAATGACCATCTGGAATGGAAAGACTTCAAAAGATAATATTAGCTGGTTTCTCAGCAGAGCTGATGAATTTACCAAGGCCTAGTATCTAATGCAGTCTTTGTCAGTCTTGGGTCCCTAGAGGTTGTTGGGCTGCAACTCCCTAGCCAGTGAGGCCATGATCAGGAATGGTGGGAGTTGTCGTTCAAGAACATTAGGGACCCAAGGTTGAGAGAGGCTGCTCTAATGTATGGTTTAGGAAACAGCTGGGATAACAGCTTTATAATGGTTGAATAGAAGCTGCTTGGCAGATGAGCCTTGCTTGTACATACTTGAGTGCCTCAACACATTTGCTCATAGGAATAGAGTGATCATCTCCTCAACTGCGTCCATGCTTGGAGCTGGTGTAATTAAGAGTTTTCTGGCTGGGGGAGTTATGAGGGGTCTTGGAATCATACTAAATTTACATGATCAAGATTAAGTTTGTGGGAGACTGCGTCTCTTGCATAGAAACATCTATGTTGTTCTGAAGAGAGTGGAATTGAGTGAAGTAGTCTACCACACTCATGGCACATGCAAAACAATTTGTTTAGTTAGAAGTAGAATCCTAAATAATGTGCCACTGTCCTTCAGTTCAGCCAGCAGTGGCCTCCAAGGTCCCTTAGGAGTCATCTCAATGGAATGAGCTCCACCAACCATTGCACAGTGGTACCTTGGTTGTTAAACTTAATCAAAAACCAGGTGCGGCTTCCGATTGGATGCAGGAGCTTCCTGCACTCAATCGGAAGCCATTTCAGATGTTCGGTTTCCAAAAAACATTTGCAAACCGGAACACTCACTTCCGGGTTTGTGGCATTCGGGAGCCGACTTGCTTGGGAGCCAAGCCGTTCGACAGCCAAGGTACCAAGAGAAAGTCTGCTGTTTTGATTTGGCATATCCCCTAGCTTCATTTCCCTTCTCATTAATCCTTTTTCTTCCCATGTGACAGTTGCACTAATGGAAGGTCTGATGCGATCCAGGCGGATGTCAGTCACAAGTAAATATACTATCCTGGACGGATGGAGCTGCATGGTGATGGCGCTGCGCTTGGCACTGACTAACAATCCTTTCTGCAGCATGCAGGGTCTTGGTGCTCAGCCTGTTCTCTTTCATTTTCTAAGGGAGTGGGTTGTTGTTGTTTGTTGCTGTGATAAACACGTCTCTTGGGAAGGGTCTGGTAGCTGAGGTGAATGCTGGGGAAAGGTGCATGTCTTGACTGTGTGGATTCCAGGAGGTGATGACGAGTGAAACTGAAGAGTAACCTGGCCACATTCCTTTGAGAAATCTGTGAATCTGAAAGGCTTAACTGGGAGCTGATGGCATATGACCCTGTGACTGCTTTTATGGTGTACCAAGACAAGAGGTTTCATGAAAATGAGCTGGTAAGGCTCTCAGTTTTGCATGCAGTGTAGTATGCACTGCGTTTTTGCCAGGCTTAGAGTCTTTTAAGTTTGCCAGAAGGCTTGCTTATGTTTTGGAAGGCAGAGTGACACAGTGTAGTTATTGCTTTTACCATGTTTGATCTCTGCTATAGTTCTGTAATTACTGTGAGCTACTGTGCCCATCGGTCATCCTGTTTTCTCACGTAGACTTCATTTCCAGATCCCAATGAGATTCTATTATTATTGCTATTATTGTTCTGTGCCTAAGGCCTCAGTATTTTAAAATGGAGAAGACTGTTCACAGGAAGAAATTTCCACACAAAACTTGTGAAAGCCATTTTAAAACAAACTGGCAAGAGGAGAGTCAACTGAGAATCTAGTGTTTCTGCATAGTTACGAACAGCTCTTCTGACAGAATCAGCTCTATAGTTCATGTGAATTTAAAAAACATATGCACAGCACCTCTGAGAATTGCAATGCTCGCGTGCAGCTGCACTGTATTAACAAGTGAGAGAGAAACCCTTCTCTGCCAAAGGAGGTGGGCAAGAACATTATTGCAAACAAGGCTGCTAAGCCAGCCCAAGGCGTGTACACTTTGCTGTCTCCCTTAGATTCTAGAGCACCATGGCTTGGTGGAGTAAGCAGCGCTGAGCTAGCTAGATGGACCAATAGTCAGGTTTCCTTTTGGGTATCATCATACATTCTACTCTACTAATTTTACTGTTAGGACCACAAAATCTGGCAAAATGGATCACTTGCTGGAATTTCTTGTGACTTTTGACCTGGAACAAAGTACTTATGAATTCCTTGATTGTGAGCCGAAACCTTTGTGGGCCACTTAAAATAGCTTTTGTCTAATTTCCAACATGGAAAGCACATGTGCACAGGAGTTTGCAATTGTGCAAGCAGACTTTCATGCCTTGTTTTTGTTCTGAAACCCAAAGGGCTGTCAAACAACTGCCCCTTTTATTCAGTTAAATTGAAATCATTTGCAGTACCAACATTTTCACAAACAGCTACCAGTCATAGTAATAAGGAAAGAACACATTTTTTAAAAAAAATGCACTCCATATTATACTAACACCAGAACCAAAATAACACCCGAGAACGTAATGACATTGTCTTAAACTCTGAGCCTTGCTGATTTAAAATTTGTGTCTCTTGGATTCCACAACTAAAGCTTTATAGTCGGTTGAGCTACAATTTTTAAATCCAGAACCCTCATAAATTGTCTGAAGATGGAAGGCACAATGCTTGAAATGATGTACAGTGGTACCTCGGGTTACAAACACCTCAGGTTACAAACACTTCAGGTTACAGACTCCGCTAACCCAGAAGTAGTACCTGGGTTAAGAACTTTACCTCAGGATGAGAACAGAAATTGCTGCAGCAGTGGGAGGCCCTATTAGCTAAAGTGGTACCTCAGGTTAAGAACGGATTCAGGTTAAGAACAGACCTCCGGAATGAATTAAGTTTGTAACCAGAGGTACCACTGTATTAGAGTGGGTTTTTTAAGCAAATGGTCTTCTCAGTTTAATATTGATGCTCATTAATAAGAAGATATGTATGTGAAAGGAGCAGTGACGTTTTCATTTTTTTACTCCCACTTCTCACTTGCCACTGGTGCGTTGTGTGTGTGTGTGTGTGTGTGTGTGTGTGTGTGTGTGTGTGTCTCAGGGCACAAGCTTAACTAACCCCTGTGAATTCAGGTGCTGGAGCTGCTGCATGGGTGCCATCTTAGTTTCCTTATTGCTGCTGAACTGTTTCCTTGGCAGGAGCTGAGGAAGATGCTAATCCTTAACAAAGTGACCAGAGTGACTACCTTCCTTAATTGAAACACGTCTATCTTGTCTGATTTTTTTATGTTTTTCTCCCTCACTTTTTTTCTTTAGTCTGAAGGATGCCAGTGATTTCCCAATTCAGTGTGAGATTTCTCCTCTTGTTTCCTACGGGGGTGAAGTAAGTTGATGTGGTGTTCTCTCTTTCTCTCCCCACCCCCATCCAGTTTCAATTTGTAATTCCCCTGTCTTAATGCTCAGGGCAGATAGCAAGGCTTGAAGTAAACCATAGGAAAGTATGCTATGCATGCCTTATACAAATGAGCTGGTGGCTGTCTGTCCTTGGCACTGTAGCGAAGAAGGGGTAAGAGGAGCCTAGAGAGCTGGCACGAGGAAGTCATCCTATCTTGTAGATGCAGGCGTGAGTTTATCTGGCCATTCAAACAGTGGTGTGAGTCATGGGTAGGCAAACTAAGGTCCGCAGGCCCAATTGCCTTCTGGATCCGGCCCGCAAATGGTCTGGGAATTTCTGCGTGGCTCACCAGTGCGCGTGTTCTTTCCCTCCCACTCGACGCCTCCTCCCTCCTGGCTTCTCCTTGCCCTGCCTAGAGGAGGAAGGGGGCTGGGCTTTGTTGGTGCCAGCAGCACCAGTGCTCAAGCGGGTGCCATTTTAAGCAGCCCCTCTTCGGAGTCCTTTTGTGCACCGCTCATCACCCCTCCGCTGCCAGCCCCTGCCACTCGCAAGACACAGGTAAGCAGCCACCAGGGCTTGTGGTGCTCTTGCACCACCACCCCCCCCCAAAAAATATAGTCCGGCCCCCCACAAGGTCTGTCACGAGTCTTGTACTCCCAGCAGGGTCACCCAAGGCGGTAAGGTCAAAGGGGAGGAACTAGACCTGTGGTTCCCAACGTGGGGCTCACCACACGCCCCACAGGGGGGTAATTTGGTTTTTAAGGGGGGCAAATTGAGAATGAATTAGACCAAGTTAATGGCCTTTTAGGTTTCCTCCATGTGAATAGGAGTTCACTTTTTGAATAGTAAGAGTTATATGTGACCAGGGGGAGGAGCATTAGGATTTTAGAGATGCTTAGGTGGGGCATGGCCCAAAAAAAGGTTGGGAAGCACTGAGCTAGACATAGAATAATCCTAGAAGTCCTCAACAGCAGAACAGGCGGAAGATAAAAAGCGGTATGTTACAACGACTGTGAAGGCGAATGAAGGCTGCAGCAGATAAGAATCTACCGGTCGTTGTGATACTCACGCCATCGGAATAGAGCCTTACTGAGAAGACAGTTGGTCAGCGTGCACTGATCTACACACATAAAACAAATTTTTGGAAAGTTGGATAATTATGATAACTAATGGTCTCAGGGGCAGGGGGCACATTTTTATTTGTATTATTATTACTTTGTTTAAAAAGAAAAGAAATACATCTGCTTCAACTGTGCAAGAGGAATGTCAGAACTTGATTTGGCTTTTCTAGCCACTTGCTCTGTGTTGGACATGGAAGGTGTAAATGATTAATCCGGAGCTTGAAACTCTGACATGGCTGCCAATTTGTATGTATAAAGTGTTATATGCCAAGTGTTTCTGGCATCTTGTTATCTCATTTATTGCCATAACTCCTATGTGGAGATCATAAATAGTTACGTTTACAGATGGGAAATAAAGTTGAATGGTTCTTGGCTGAACAGAAATTTGAGCCTGGTGTTCCCAAGTTCAGAGCTGCACTTTGGTTTGCACTTAAGTTTTGACTCCCTAGCCTTTAGTACTACTAAATCTGCTGTGCCCAGTTTCTGAATATCTGTTGCTGCTTTTATTCTCCTAGGGCCTGGAGGAATACGTGAAGGACAAAGAATTCCATGCCCCTTTGATTATCCATGAGTTGGTGAAGAATGGATTGTGAGATCCCCTGTTCATCTTTCTGGTGAACCTCGGTTGTCAGACTGTGAATATTTGATTTAAAGTTTCAGTATCAC